TATATATATATAGTTGATATATCATAATTGATATATCAATAAAATCTTGTTTATATATATGTATATGTATATACCTATATATATATACATATACATATATATAAACTATATTTTATTGATATATCAATTTTAATCTAATAAATTTCTGTACCACATTAGAAATAGTCTTGGAATGATTTTGTATGCGCTATAAAAATTTTATTAGACTATTTTATTAGATCAACGCGTATGAATTTTGTTTTAATCTAGCGTAATGTAGTAATTTCTATGAGAGAATCTTCCTCTGATCTATGAAGTTATATGTCATGTATATGTCAGGTATACTGAAATAACGACGCAGTATAACTTCTCGAACGTGCTGTCAGAGAGTTATTAACGACGTTATGACTATGATTATTATAGATCGCTGCCGAAACTCAGCAGCCAGGACGAAGATGGGACAAACCCCCACACCCAATACACAGGCGTCACACACTTCGAACCCATACCGCACGATCATGATTTCTGCGAAAGGGTCGTCATCAACGTGAGTGAGAATTTTAACATTTAATTGTTTCAATGTTCTGATATTGCCACCTTTACAATGCTTCCAGAATGATAAACAGTCATGCAATGACTTTTCCAATGATATATCACAGTGTTTTATCGTTTTGAGAAAATATTCCTTACATTAATATTTTTGTTTTGTGTCAGGTTAAAGAATTCTTAAGAGACATGTTAAAAACTTTTGGCTCTTTATAACTTTTGGCGCCACTGATTCTTGGAATGAAAAATGTTCGACTCCAAGTGCCAAAAAAGTTTTGTCTTTACGGAGCCTTGGCACCACGGATCTTTAATCTCGCGAATTCTTGATGCCATAAATCCTAGATTCGACGGTTCCCAAGGCAAAGGCAGTAAAATATACTACTGATCTCTCATATGTAAATATAATTCCATTTTAATATTGTTCTTTAATTTGTTTCTTTCTCATCGTTTCTGTAACAAGTTTCTTTTATCACTATGATCGGAATTATCGCGTATTTTATTTACGTAGGTAATTCCAGTCCGGTTCGGCATTCACACGCTTTCTTTTTTCTTTTTTTTTTCTTTTGACAAAGTGAGATTATCTCAAGACATGAAGTGACCTACAGACTGCGTTTTGGCGGCCATCCAAGTTCGTCTTGGAATCAGAGACGATATAGCATCAAGGTTATATTGTGCGAACGGAATTATCTGTCCTCGCGGATGACACGACTGCATTGCGCCAATTACAGCAATCGATTCAATCGATGCATTTTACTTATTTTTTTCCCTTTTTTCTTTTTGTCTTACGGTGGGCACGAAAATTCGACAGAGGTCAGAGCACGTCTTATGATGCATGGGTGAAGCGTGTGAGTGTAAGAATCGGCGTGCAATGTGCATTAATATAACATATGCTTTTCCTTGCATTCTCAATTAAAAGCAAAATATTAAGTGTTAAAATATAATTGAACATTATCTAAATCAATTTTTTTTTTTTTTCATAGTGATAAAAGTGCTTTTGATCTCTTTTTGAAAGCACGTTGTTCCTTTATAACGAATGGGCCATGCAATGATTATCTTTCCTACTCGTTGATCCTTGAGCGTAGTTTTATTGAAATGCAGGTTCGTACAGAGAGAGAGAGAAAGAGAGAGAGAGAGAGAGAGAGAGAGAGAGAGAGAGAGAGAGAGAGAGAGAGAGAGCGGAAATATTTTGTTGCTGAATTTACATTTTGCTGCCTTTACTTTTTTCTTTATGTTTTTTGTTTTCTTTCTTTGTTTCCATTTTACTAAGTTTTTATTTTTTTTCATGCGTGTATGCGGTTCTCCAAGAGCGAGTGACTTAATTGATTCGCTATTTCGAATAAATTGTCGAAAATTTTTATTCCTCATTATATGATCAATTAAAAACCAAAAAAGAAATCGACTTTGAGAACTTTCCTTTAAAATTGTCAGACTACTCAACAAAAGTTAACAATGTTAGGTAAGTGGTCCACTCGCGATCGATGTGACAATCCCTAGTAATACGTTAGTCCCTTTGTGAAATGAACAACCCCCGACAATCATCCCCGTTCCAATTAACTGCTTGAACGGTGCGCCCCGCCCAGCGTGGCGCCACCGTACCAATAATCGATTATTGCAATCGACAGGTGAGCGGGCTACGGTTTGAAACACAGCTGCGTACGCTGAACCAATTTCCGGACACGCTGCTCGGCGATCCGACACGGCGGCTCCGATACTTCGATCCACTGCGCAACGAATATTTTTTCGATCGGAACCGACCTTCCTTCGATGCCATACTCTACTACTATCAGAGCGGCGGCCGCCTACGTCGCCCGGTCAACGTCCCACTCGATGTCTTCTCCGAAGAAATCAAGTTCTACGAGCTGGGCGAGATGGCTACCAACAAGTTCAGGTACGAGCGCAGCTGTTTGGTTCTCAGCGATTTCACGTAACCCAATTATTGCAATCAAACGTTGGTGTAAACGTCCTTACGTAAGATTCCTTAATTCTATTACATAAATTCTTAAAATCCTCTTTATATCTATCTCTTTGTCTCTTGTATATAAAACATCACAGATCAGCATATAATTACAGTTTTTCTAAAGTGCATTATAGATATCCAATATCTTTTGCTTTATTATGTAGATTTTTTATCAATTTAAAGTGGATTTGTTTTTACCACGATATAGATTTGTGATCCCACATGTGGTTAGTTATTTAGATAAACGTAACTGTACTTTGTATCAAAACCTTACTTCTACAACTACAATTTTCGAAGAGAAACTGTAAATATTATGTATCATTACAAATACAGATACGGGCATAGTCATAGAAAATTTAAAAGAAAAAACTGATATTATTGATTGGTGGTATTAATGGAGCAATGACTAAACAGGGAGGACGAAGGCTTCATTAAGGAGGAAGAGAAGCCGCTGCCGTCGCACGAGTTCCAGAGGAAAATCTGGCTCTTGTTCGAATATCCGGAAAGCTCGCAGGGTGCCCGGGTGGTCGCTATAATCTCCGTGTTCGTGATCCTCCTGTCGATCGTGATTTTTTGCCTGGAGACGCTACCTGAGTTCAAGCACTATAAAGTCTTCAATACGACGACGAATGGCACGAAAATCGAGGAGGACGAAGTGCCGGACATCACGGACCCGTTCTTCCTAATAGAGACTATCTGTATCATCTGGTTCACGTTCGAGTTAATAGTGCGCTTCCTCGCCTGCCCAAATAAATTTAACTTCTTCCGTGACGTAATGAACATCATCGACATCATCGCAATCATTCCATATTTCATCACCCTCGCCACAGTAGTGGCTGAGGAGGAGGACACGCTGAATTTACCCAAGGCGCCGGTAAGCCCGCAGGACAAAAGTACGAACCAGGCGATGTCCTTGGCGATACTCAGGGTGATCAGGCTGGTCCGAGTGTTCCGGATATTTAAATTATCCAGGCACAGTAAAGGCCTCCAGATCCTCGGGCGAACCCTCAAGGCCTCCATGAGGGAACTCGGGTTGCTCATCTTTTTCCTTTTTATCGGTGAGTTTGATAACGTTTTTTGAATGATTAGAATAAGATAATAGTAATAGATTTATTATTAATTTTATGTGAATTAAGCTTACAAAAGATACAAGATACTCTTATTTATTATTAATGGTATTTTCTGAATTCAATATTTACAGATATATTAAAGCAATATACACGACTCTTCATTATTTGCATTAATTATATTATAACTCGTTAAAAATATGTCAATTGAAAAATTTTATTGCATATATGCATGGAATATAATTCTGATATTATTTAAATTGCGTTGCTTTTTTATAAAACTTGTAATTAATTTAAAGAGATTAATTAAACTAAGTAAGAAAATCTAGGAAGAAACAGAAAGAGAAAGAAAGAGGGGAAGAGGGAAAGGGATAAGAAACAAAAAGAAAAAGAGAAAATATTGAAAAAAGTTGTTAAGTACGAAACTACATTTTGTGAAAATTGGAAAATGATCAAGTTTTTGTTATTTCGGCTTTGATTTTTAGCAATTGTTGCTGCATAGATACCCATTGCTGTCGAAAGGAACAAGTAAACAGGATTTTTTAATATCGTTCGTTTATCGAATCACAATCTTTTAAAAGTAAAAATCTTCGTAACATTCTTATGATGCTGTAACTACGATTATTATAATTATTTTTCAGTTAGGTTATTATTATTATTATTATTATTTTTCTTTTATTAATTTCTTTATAAGTGACTGATTAAAACTCGATGAACTCTAACTACTTTCGGCCCAATTTTAGCTAAATTTTACTTAATAATTATTAAGATAATGCTATTTTATAGTCATGACTACAGATATAATTATTACTTGCTGATAATTATAATCTATTAAAATATTAATATATTTTAAAAACAAAATTCTACTGTACAAATTTATTTTGTCATAACGTTATTAACGCTATTAATAGTTATTAACGATATTAATATCCTTAAAGAAAAAAAAAAATTTACACATCTAATCAGTTGTTTTATATGGAAAAGTTCGTATTGTATTAAATATGCCATAATTACCATTTACCAATACATAATAAGTCAGCAGTAAAATTATACGAGACCTTTAGAAATGTTTTCTTTGCCATTGGAAGATGAACCGCAGATTCTTCAAGAAAATTTGATTCATTTTCAGCTGAAAGTCAAATCAATTTGGAAATTGACTGAAAAAGAAACAATTGAGCCTAGTTCTAGAATGTGGACATTCTAAGTCCAAGTGTTCCAGGTATGATCACGAAATCATCTAGATTGGATGATTCTAGTAACTGAGCCATGTGCTCACAACGTGTACGATGTGGACAGTCCAGATGCGATCAGCCGATTACCTGGATCACAAATAATTCCGTTTAATCCTCGGATAAATGTATATCACACGGACAATTCCAGATGCGATCAGGAAGATGAACGGATCGGACGATCTCAGTAGTCGGATCCTCGCGTCCGCGAGACCGATGTATACGACGTGTGTGGACGATGACGTATACCGTCCTGACCCGTGCCTTCCTCTTGTGTGCGTTGCAGGTGTGGTGCTGTTCTCGTCGGCAGTCTACTTCGCGGAGGCCGGCACGCAGGACAGCTTCTTCAAATCGATACCGGACGCGTTCTGGTGGGCGGTGGTCACAATGACGACCGTGGGCTACGGCGACATGAGGTACAGAGCCACCGGGGGCGTTAAACCCACTGAACCGGTGTTTTCTTCCTTGCATTGCAGGTGTGGTGCTATTCTCGTCGGCGGTATACTTCGCGGAGGCCGGCTCCGAGAATTCGTTCTTCAAGTCCATTCCGGACGCGTTCTGGTGGGCCGTTGTCACGATGACGACCGTGGGCTATGGTGACATGACGTATGATGTACTCACATTCATTTAAGATTTTAGTTAATGCCCGCAAAACAGTGATGACCGTTTTAGGTCATTGAGAGAGGACGAAAGAGAAAGAAAGAGGGTGAGGGAGAGAGAGGGAGAGAGAGAGAGTGAGTGAGTGAGAGAGAGAGTGAGAGAGAGAGAGAGAGAAGGAGGGGGAAGACAGGGGAGAAAGGGAGGAAAGGAGAAAGGGGGAGAGGGAGAGGGAAGAGAGAAGCGAAAGACTATAATTATAAAAAAAGAGAACGAGAAAAAAAAATTTTTTTAAAGAGAGAGAAGGGAAAGAGAGACAAAGAGGGAAAGAAATAGAGTGGGAGGGTAAGAGAGAGGATAAAGAGAAACAAAGAAAGAATAAAGAAAAAGAGAAACAAGAGGAAAAAAAGGAAGAAAGAGCGAGAAAGAAGAAAGAAGGAAAAAGAAAAAGGGAAGTGAGAAAAAGAGGGAAGGGAGAGGGAAGGGGAGAGAAAGAGCGAGAGAGCGAGAGAGAGAGAGCGAAAGCGAGAGAGAGAGAGAGAGAGAGAGAGAAAGAGAGAACGAGAGAGAGAGAGAGAGAACACATGCAGTTTCTTGTACTTTTTTGGTCATTTAACATTTTTTTTTTAGATTGCACCAACAATCCAAATAAATTGTTTATATATGTATATTATACTTTATATTAAAGTATGTTTTATATAATAAAAATAAAAGATAATTTGTGTAAGAATTGCAAACTTTAAATAAATTTATCGATCTAAATAAATTTACAATAATTGGCACAAACGTATATAAATATTATGCAATAAGTATTGTATTTTATAACATTATTAAAATTATAATCGAAATTGTTAGCGCAATCACTTTTTTCCTTTTTATCTTTATTTTTCCTTCTGGTCGGCACGCGTTGCTCGAAGCACGCTTTAATTATTCTACGTTGGCCATGTAGGGTTTTTATTTGTTTTAAGCTAATAATAATAAATATATTTAACGTAATCAAAATTTTAATAAGAGTGTTTTTATGTTATGGGAAAATAATTTTATATGAAAATTTTAATTAATCTAACTGAGTACTTACGTAAATATACGCAAAATTTAAATTCGTTTTGATTGGAAATTTATTTAGTTTGATAATTATATGTGTACGACGTATGATTAAACTGTTTATATGAAATTTCAAGATAGTAATTAAGGGATTACGCCAGCTTTGAGTTTTAGAATGATATCTAAAAGTTGGGATTTTTTTTGTGGATAAATAGATAACTTTATTTAAAATCTGTTTAGAGAACATTATTGTACATATATAAGAAACTAAAAAAAATATTTTTTTATTTTTCTTATGTCCAAAATGGCGGCGCACTGACCTACATTTGCAGAATCCCTTTTTTTCTATCGGTGTACAGG